CAGTACAAGCTTGCTAAGTAAGCCAGTGTTTAATTCAAGTCCAGGGAGGGACCTGCAGTCATGTAGATACTTGTAATCAGAGTAGCAGAGTGAAGTACACCTCTACCCCGATATAACGCGGCCCAATATTACACGAATTCGGATAGGACGCGGTAAAGCAGTGCTCCGGGGGGCCGGGCTGTGCACTCCGGCAGATCAAACCAAGTTCGATATAACGCGGTTTCACCTATAACGCAGTAAGATTTTTTGGCCCCTGAGGACAGTGTTATAGCGAGGTAGAGGTGTAGTAGGACTGATATTGTGGAAATTAGGGGTTAATCAGGAACCAGCCCCTAAATTAAAATATCTGCTAAGAATTAACATTTCTCTCATTAATATATAGGTGGTTATTTGACCCCCAAGCCACTCCTTTACAATGGTTATGACAGCTATGTTATATCGGTGCTCTCTGCATAGGCTCTACCCAGCTTATACTAGAATCACTGGATGAAAGTATCACCATATCAAGTATTTGTATCACCAACATTCACTAGATCAAGCCTCTTAACCCCCCTGTGAGCTAAGCAAGTATTTACAGATGGACAACAAGTCAAACATGCATGGTGTGTGGAGGACCATTGAGACAGAATAACTAGTTGATGGCATCACACAAAAACGTTCCCAGATCTGGAAAATCTTTGGGGCAACCCAGCAGGCAACACCTGATGGGGTCAGGGCGCACATCCCTTCATGCATCAGAGTCTGACAGCTGGAAGCGCTGGGGTGTCTTAGTCCATCCTGCCAACATGGCCGAAGAGCATCCAACACAGCTTTGGAATATAATGAAGGAAGGAAGGCTGGATCTCTGGGAGGCTGACATTTCGTACAAAGTAAATCACTAAGGTCATGCAGCAAGTCTGAGACAACTGGCACTCATGACTGTCCCAATCCCCCCGGTCACCCCACTACAACCCTGCTGGTGCTCCATGTTTTTAGTCAATGTAGAACACTTCCACAGTAAAAAAAAAAAAAAAAAAAAAAAAGACATATAGGGGCAAGTATAATTGATCTATTTAAACTAATGTTCACTCATGCCGGTAAGAGGCTAAGCTACCTGGAAGCAGTTAATCAGTAGCCCTAGTTATTGACTGCTGGTCTAAAAACATTTTAAAAAGATTAAGACTTGCATATTTTGCATCCATTACTGTGTAATCCTGATGAACCTCACATCAGTTACAGAAGTATAAATTTTGCAAATAGGATAAGAGGAAGGAGAAATAAGATTAAAATTAGATCATGCTAGTAAGAGGCTGAGGAAGGGGGGGAGGGGGGAAGGTCTCCTCAGTATCCCATTTCTTGCTATCCTTGCCACACATCTTGAAGCGTCAGCCAGTTCATCTCACTATCTCTTCCCTGGACCTTAGATACTCTTGATTCTCGAGTCAATATCACGTGTTCAGGTATCCCATTTAACAGAAGAGAACCTCTTGCTGCCAGGCACCTGGTATTATAATCTTTGACCGGCTACATAACAAGCCTATTAACTGCACTGGCACCCTAGGCAATGCACTGAATATGCTGTTAAGACGATCTTTGACCTCAGAAGCAAGCAGCAGCCACCACTGCCTAAGAAGTGGACTCTACCATTGCCAGTTCAGGAAGTTCAACAAGCAGCTTTCCAAGGCTGAGCACTTCCTACTATTGAGAGCAGTCGCCCAGGACCTGGGAGCCTAGTAGGGGAAAGCCCAGGATGAGACTTCAAATTTTTCGCCAAACACCCCGTAAGGACAGCACCACATTACACAGATACTGTAACCAGAAGCCTGCTATCTAGGTACTTATATTCAAGGCCTGTGAGGGCCAGACAAGCACCTACTCCAAACACATATGGCCTGAATGCTGAACTGCACCTCGAGGTTTGATGCGGCCAAACCTAAAGAAAGTGACTTGTCACCATTTTACAGGAATAAAAGTGCCCCGAAGTATAGCATGTCCTAAGGCTGGGATTTTAAGGGAGACTAAGGGATCCCGGCAGCCATATTCTATTGACTTTAAAGGGGATTTGGGTGCCCAACTCCTTGGCTCCTCTGAAATCCCAGGCTAAAAGGTGCTAGAGTGTAACAAATATTTGTTTTATGACACTAGTGTAAGTCTCTAGCTTGAACAGCTTCCTGAGGACTCTAAATACTGGAACAATCTATGGCCACTTACAGCTTTATGCCTATCACAAAGCCACATGCCATGGACACCACTGGAACTGACAGCAACAGATCTCAGATCCTCCTGCTCCAAGAGGACAGGCCTCCTATCACTTGAGCTAAAGAAAATCTCCTTTAGCTCTTAGCAATATAGGGCCTATGTCTCAAGTGAGCAGCTCTGACTATCCAGATGAATGTAATCAATAATGTTTCACCACAAGAATTATTACGAGTCACCCAGGATGTTAGTTACTTGACACTGAGGGCAAAACCTGCTAAAAGATGCCAATATTATATTAGTTAACATCACAAGTTTAAACAAGTCCTATGCAGTCAGGAGGACATGTTCCCATGTCAAAATGAAATTTAAAAAACCTAATGCAAAGTTGAGAAGAAACTTAAAATCACACTGCTTTGTTAGGAAAAAAGTCACCCTCCAGTGATCTATTCTCAATGGCAGCATACCACTTACTTTTATATAGCATCTTTCGTCTCTGAAGGATCCCAGACTAAGAAGGGACAGAACAGATTTCTAGTACATAAAAGGTTATTACAAGGAAGAGGGAGAACAGTTGTTCTCGTTAACCTCTGAGGATAGGACAAGAAGCAATGAGTTTAAACGGCAGTGAGAGCTGTTTAAGTTGGACATTAGGAAAAACTTCTTAACTGTCAGGGTAGCTAAACACAGAAATAAATTGCCTAGGGAGGTTGTGAAATCTCCGTCATTGAAGGTTTTTAAGAGCAGGTTAGACAAACACCTGTCAGGGATGCTCTAGATAATATTCAGTCCTGCTTTAGTTCTGCCTTGAGTGGACTGGACTAGAAGACTTCGAGGTCCCTTCCAGTCCTACGATTCTATGACCTTATCTATACTAGGCAAGTTTGAACCATTGCAGCTTCATCAGTGGTAGCACTAGAGTAAAGCAGGCACAAGGTGTTTTTTTAAATCACAACATCGTCTTTCCCTGCTTAAAAAGGGTCTACACAGCACAGGGGGAAGATTCCAGCAGCCACCAGTTAGAGCTAGCAGAACATAGGTAAAGTATTGGCAGGAGAGCGAGTCAGATGAAACAACTGGCCTGGGGATCTGGAAGCTCTGGAGTCTCTAGCCCCAGGGCAGACTCATGGTTTGTCTGCTGTCCTCAAGCCACAGGCCTGGGAGCCCCCAGCAGCTTTGGAGTGAAACTGGGATTCTTCTGACAGTCACTGTTGCAATAAACAACGTCCTTCACTCCACAGTGGTAGGTTGGTCTGGTGGAGCAATTTTTCGTTTGGAAACACCATTTCAGAACATCTGGTTTTGTTGTAGTTCAAAACTGAACCATATTTTGAAATGCCAACATTTCTCATGAACCTGACACCCTGATCACTGTTGCCAACACCAGTAGCGGCAATAGCACGAAATTTCAGGGAAAAGGAACGTAGCAGCTTTGCTCATAGCCCTAATTGGTTCAGGTTTGTGAGGTCTACTTATATTCCTTTTGTGCTAACCCTTCTGGTCTTCTATTGCTACCTAGCCCATGGACCAAATACTTCATTTTCGTTAACAAATGCTGCCGTTATGTCACTTAGCAATTAGAATTAGTGTTGCTTGGGAAGGGAATGGAAACCTTAAAATATACTACAGCACAGATAGCTAATGTGTTAGCACTAATCCGGAGCTTTCTACAGCATCCTTCACTTTAGTAACTGTTAGCGTTCTGAACACATAAGGGGCAATCCATGATGCATTGTGGTACTCAGTACAGCAATAGTTTACTGAAGTGCCCAGGACTTGGGGGTCATTAGCATTGCTCAATATAGTTACCAATGCATTTTAGGGGGTCAGGAGGAAGCATGGAAGCAGAGAGCCCCAGCATTCAGACATCACTCCTGTAATGCTGGGTGGGAAGGAGGGCAAGTTTTAGCCATTTGCACAAGGAGTGGAGAAGAAAAAAAAATACACTGTGGGAAGTGTAAGATCCTCACACCCCAGCCCTGCTTATTGCCACCCTCCCACCCCCTTCCCAGCCATCCCCAGATGAGGGGGAAGAGGAGTGCTTCAGGTAACAAGCCGTGGCTGACCAGACCTCCCCAGTCTGTCATTTGTGCATCTGAGCCCAACTCCTCACATTACCATACATAAATACTTCATGTCAATAGTATTTGCCCCCCATCTCGTTTACTCCTTACTAGAACGGACTCATTTCTACCTTAGTATCCTCTATGGACCAGCTTTACTGCTTATTGATTTCAGGGGGAGTTAGAGGGGGCTAGCAGCTGGCAGGATCAATGAAGAATTCACTCATTAGAACAGAATTCGTGTTCCTGTTGCACGAGACACGACGGATGGGTTGTAGTCAATCAACCCTGGGCTAGCTGGGGCTAGTCTGCACTTCAAGCTACAGGTGCACATTTCAATACCCAGACAGCTACAGCGCACTTTTCCTGTCCTGTATGGGCCACATCTCTGTTGGGTAAGGAAATTATTATCGACCTAGCCCTGCCAGGGGATCAGACTAGGTGACCTAGGGAGGTCCCTTCCAGCCCTAGACTGCTGTGAGCCTCAGTGTGGGGGGGGATTTGAAACATTAGCCAGGTCAGCACCTCAGCACGCAGGGAGCTGGAGCTCGAGAGAGCTCACAAGGCAGACCTGGAGGCGAGGGGGCACGATACAGCCATCGGGGGGCACGATACAGCCATCGGGGGGCTAGGGAAGAACCTGGGCACTTGGTGCCACCCCAGCCTTTGATGGGGGGCGGCCAAGGGGACGCCAGCCCGGGTCGGCCCAGCGCAGGATGCAACCCCCCCCTCCCCACTGCTCCCCCCGGGCGCGGGTCTCACCTTGATGACCTGGTCCCGGACCATGCTGGGCAGGACGAAGAGCAGGACAAGGCCGCACAGGGCGAAGACCAGCCCGGTCAGCCCCAGCGCCAGGGGGGCTCTGCGCCCCGCGGGAGCGGCCATGGCGAGCAGAGAAACGTCCCCCGCAGCGCAGCCACCAGCCGGGCCTCGCTGCCGGCTCTGCCCGCGGCTTAGCTGCAGCCAGCGCGGGGAACAGGCGGCCGGCCGCGATTTTATTCCCTCCGGCCGCGCCGGGACCGCCCCCTCGGCCGGCTCTGCCCAGCGCTCGGCGGGGAAGGGCCGCCCCCCGCCCCAGCCGCGGGAGACCCGGCTACAGCGCCCCGCCTCCCTCCCCGCCCCGAGGATCAGGCGCCTGGGGAGCTTCTCTATTCCCCCCCCCCCGATCCTGGGGAACTTTTTTCCAACCTCCCGCCCCCAGATCCTGGGGAGCTTCTCTTCAA